AAAACGAAAATATTTCCTATCGTCTGAAATTTTTACCCAAGAATACAAGGAGCGAGACATAGAAAGAACGTAGAAAAAGTTTACACTCCTTCTCACTCAAAATATATTACACAATTTTGATTTTTGACTCGTATCGTTTAGCATTTCAACTCGTCAATTCGAAACTCCCTTTCGATTCATCATACTTTTGCTTACGATTGCTTTCTAGTCTAGCGATGACAAATTTTCATCGTTCGCAAGTCGTCAAAGACTGGCGTATTGTACGCGTGAATTTCATCGGAGCTTGTCTACGCGACTTTTAAATCGAATTCAGGTAGAAGATTCCTGTGTTTGTGGGCGGTACAGCGAAATTATTCTCACGTCATTGGTTTAGCATAGTGCGCGTAGCTACGGTGGCCAAACGTAGCTGGTAATGCCGATCTCACAATGGTTGCTTCACAATGAGAAAGCTGTCCCGTTGTCGATCTTCGCGTTTCCCCCAAAAACGTGCATCGGGGTTTTGTGCATCGTCATGGAAAGACGGCGCGGCGTGCGTCAAAACGGCAAAAAGAAGGACAAAATGCAGCTCGCGTCGCTACACCAACGGCAACGATCCATTATAATTTCTTATTGTTAGTCCTAAGGATAATGTACGAGTTTTATTTCCGGTTGAAAAGCATTGGAAACAATTTGAAATCAGCAAGGCGCGATGTTACTGTAACGTAGCTGATTTAATCAACGATTCATTTCATGTTGCACGAGTACACAAATACTCCACAGACTGGACAAACAAATTAAATTTCAGCTACTCGTAATAACACTTTGTCAGCGCATGCACGCGACTAGTAGGTACGTTGAAAAACGTACGAAAATTACAATTAAGCTCCAAAACGTGATGACGACGCGGTACAATAATATAAATGAAATCGAGAACGTGTACATCGTTCGTGAACTGGACGTAAATCAGACACATCGAGAACAACGCGCAAGGATATATTTTAATTTCGTCGCATAAATTTCCCGAAAGTTAGAGTTCTCCGTAGTCCGGCGACTACGATGTACACGTTCATTGCGAAAATCATAAAGTCACCGTGAAACGAAACCGCAAACCACGAGACCACGATATTAATACATTAATTTGTGCGACTCTCTCTCTCTCTCTTTCTCTTTCTCTCTCTCTATTCAGATTTAAAATTCAATGCTACCACGCTCTCGAATCGAATAAATTCCGCTTTAACATAACGTTGAACTTCCACAGACCCATTCCACCGCGGCATGGTCTTTCGATATCGTGAAAAGAGGCACGCCTTTGTTAAAGATGAAATTCGTTACAGTATTAGTGCAGCGGCGTTCGCGTTGCACGCTAAAAGGGAGTTCCCGGCGTTGACGTTGAAACCGCGCCTCGCCATTGTCCCTCTGCACGGCAAACACGAAAAAACGGTTTCAATTTTCGAGTGCCCGCACCGCCGTGTCGGCTCTCTGTTCGTTTTGTCACCAAAGTGCTTCCCCTTTTCGACGAGAGCTCGAGAGGCCGAGGCAACCCCCGCCATTCTGCGTACAGCATCTCGAGTGCTGTCGCGCTGACTCTTTTCAACTTTGATCGAGCGCCTCTTCAGTGCGCATAAGATGAAATGAATTAGCGCTCAGGAAACCGGAAAGCCTCCGTCGTCTTCAACCTCTCGCTTGTTTCCCCTATGTTTCTCGTCGTTTCTTGTTCATACAGTCTCTCTCTCTCTCTCTCTCTCTTTCTTTCTCTATCTCTATCTTTCTGCTCGATAGTTTTAGCTCTCTTGCATTCCGTCGCTCTTGTTTCCAGGCGCGAGAACCGTTGCGGTTTCCCTTCCCAAAACGCTCTGCGACCACAATTTTTCTCGAGCGTCGCGAGCTGCTGAAACTCATTAATACCACTCTCGGGCAACCCCGTGACAGCGTCACGAATAGTTTCAACAGTCTCCGCCAATGTGTTATAGAACGCGTCGCAGAAAGCGTCGGCGAATTCGTTGGACAATTTATTTCCCTTTCGGAGAAGAACGGTTTATCACCGTTTCATCGAGTTTCAGCCACGACGCCTGGTCTTTTATCCTCGCTTGAGTTGTTCAACGCCGCGCAAGAACATACACACACACACACACACACACACACGTCGAATCGATTTCAATATCATTTCTCCGTTCATCGATACAACTAAAGCTAATACATAGCAATCATCGTATCGCCACATCGTAATTACAATTCCAATAGTAATCAGCGCGACATAATCGGCAACGTGACTGCGTTTCCGCTAATGAAATACAATAACCGCTCTGTGTCGCGGTCAAAGCGATTAAATCAACAATCGCTTTCACAGGTCTTCGTAGGCGAGATTTTCGACGTACGTATAATACTGTGTCAAGGCGCGTTTGTTCGAAATGGAGGAAAATACGCATACATGCATACGTATTTAACGATGTTAGTGCGTTTCTAATGAGCTGGCTAGTGGCTAGTCAGTCGCCAAGGTCGATTTAATTCGTTCCCCCCCTCCCCTTGAAGTTTCAATGACACAAAGTCGAAACGTGTCCAATTACCTGGCTCCTCGTTAGCTAAAATCCTGCTAATTCCAGGCGATTCCTGGAAATCCACCTCACCGCACTCTGTTTCTCTTGCTCATTCTCTGTCCAGCTCGTTGGCTTTGGAACGGTTCGAATGTTTAATAGATTTGTAAAGGAGCTTGCTTCCCTGTATCTGCATATCAGTTGCATCACCGGGGACCGGATTGAATTTGAGGCGTGACGAGCCTGAGCACGCAAGGGTCCGGAAAATTGAATTGCAGCTCGGCCACCAGCCGACGATGCAGTCGCAGGAATCATTCATGTCGATACAGAATTTACTGGGAACAATTGGACGACTAGATTAGCCCAAGCTAAAAACCCACTGCCAAAGATCGAAACGAAACGCTATCTCGATGATTGAACAAAGCCCTCCACTTTTGCCTTCACGTGTGACAGCTCATTTATCTCAAATCGCAATGAAAGTCACACGCAGCAGTTGAATTTACTGATTCGTGAAATTCACGAAATGTCAAAGCTCAACACGGTGGACCAGCGTTTAGCTAACTCGATTACTTGGATCTCGTGGAAATTGGGTATTTTGCGAACCGGGCGAACGAAGATCCGAGGCTGCACGCTGAAGTGACGAGGCTGCGACGTTACAGCAACGTCTCGTCACTTTGCTTTGTGCAGGGATAAACAAGTTTCCATTGGCCGGCGATATATAGCGCGGGACAGAGCGTATCGTTGCACACAGATTTTGTAAAATAGAAGTGTCCGAGCGAATTCCAACGAACGCCTTCTTCAAAATCTCTCACGCGCCGTTCCCATACGTACGAAATATTTCAACAGTTTGGAAAACTGCTCCGACGAATAGGAATGACGCTAGGGAGACGTAATCGATTGGTCCACTCGAGAAGAGGTGGGCCAGGTTAAAGCAACGCACGCGTTGAAAGACCGCGAAATTCGCAGTAACCTTAGGCGCAGCAGCCTCCACTAAACGTCCTTTAAACCGACGGACAACACGTTCTTCAAAAGTACCGACCGCCCTTACGCTTCGCGCGAAACCTTCCCCCTCGGAACACGAAGAAGAAAGAGGGAAGCAAAGAAAGCAAAGAGGAGTCGACGCGCGAGGCCGACAATTTTTTGATTTCGCAGACTTTTCCCCGGTTTAGTCGGTCATGCATTCTCCTCGCGGATGAATGAAGCCAGGCACGAACCGAGAAGTTGGGTGAAGAGATACGTGAATGGGCCGGAGAACGTCGAGGACTGAAAAAAAGGCAGCCGGTTTTCACGTTCGATCACCCGCTGCGTGAGCACGAAGGCGACACAAGTGTCCTATTGTCGATCGACCAGGATCGACGAGAGTGCCTCCGGCCATTGTCGTCTCCGCTCCTTAACACCATTAACTACGTTTTACCTTAAATTTAACCCAAAGTGGAGGCCCTCTTGACAAATTTCCGGGATTTACGGTATCACAGCTGATTTCACATCGACAATGGCTATTCCCCCGGTCATCGCGACTCTTGCTTTTCAAGACCTTTGTCCTCTCTACGTTTTTCCAGTCTACGTGCTCGTGTGCCTATGTGTGATCCACATTCGTCTTTGATCTGTTTCACTGCGGCTTAACGATCGAGAAAACTGAACGCGATGTAATAACCAGCGTAGGTTAAACAATCCTCTTTGCATTTATTATCGGCCGGGTCGAGAGAACCTAGTGATCGTTAAAGTCGCAGCACGCTCGTATTGCTGCTCATTCAATAAAATTCACCGGTGAAATTTCGTCGACGAATTTCTAAACTTCGAGTTGCTGACCGATTGTTCGTACTGAATGATGTCCTTTCGCCCAACGTCAACGTGATATTCTGTATCGAGAGAAATGAGAGGTGCTTTTTCAAGATTTGTACGAGTAATAAATTTGTTCGATATGCCCACGACCTCGATAGATAGAGGCAACGTTATTTTTCACCAACTTTTCACGAAAAAGTAAACTGCGATGCGACGTAATTCAAGTAACCAACTATCGACAATAATTTACACTGGAATCAATAATCATAGGTAATGGTGATTTACTGAGCATATTGGCAAGATTGAATACTAAATCGTATCATGAAATTGGCACGAACAATTATCGCGTTTTACATTGTGAAACATTTATCGATTGACGAGCGTTTAACACGTAACTCTCATGGACTACGTGGAATTAATTAAATCTTTGTACAAACGTACCGATACGAAATCGTTATTTTACCATTTTTATATTATCAACTCAAATTATCGTTAACAACTAAAGAAATTCCAGTTTAAAAACTACCAATAAACCAATTAACAAACGAAAAAAAAAAAAAGAAATATGATAAAATAATGGCAATGTGATTCGCATTGCGTGAAAATATTCTGGAACGAAGGTATGTGTATTCAACGTAGCGATAAATTTCAATGACATCTATTTTATTCTGCTTAAAAATGTTATATATTCAAAGTATACAGCATCCATTCTCTTCCTCTTTTTATCGCTCTGCTGCTCGTACAAAAAATATATACCTACACAGTATTTACAAGGTTCGCGTAGAACTGTATTTACAACGACATCGTAATGGAGAAACGCGGAACGTAATCTTGGAAGGTCGTTCATTGCGTGGCAAGCGCAATTCCATTCTACGAATTGACGATCCTTTCCACGGTATGCTTGGTGCATCCTATGCTTCTAAACACAGGCCCGATAGCAGTCTCCTGAATCGTAGTCTGATAAATGGAGCTATCGATTCGTCTCTTTTTATCGCCCGTTTCCTCGATTGTATCTACCATGTTCCTCTTCAAGCCTCTAGACAAATTGTGAACGTCCTTCTCGTAACCGGGACGATCGGCCATCGCGCTCACCCTCGGAAGATTTAATTTCTCCTCCGTTTCCTGTAGGAACCGTTGCGAACTGTCTGTCACGACCAACGACGACGGGGCCGAGTGCTCGAAACGGTCGGCCATGGAATTCGACAACTCCTCGTGGCCGATCGTATCGACGGGCTTGTCAATCGTCGCGTCGGTTTTTTCGTTTCTCATCGACTTCTCGTCGTCCTGCTCGCATTTTCGACTCGAGGTCTCGTCGCTGCAGGACCCCTCCCTCTTTTTGCCGCACGTCCGCAGGCAACAACATTTCTGGCTCTGCCCGGAAGGCAGGTCCTCCTTCTTGTACTTCACTCTCCGATTTTGAAACCAGATTTTCACCTGTTTCTCGGATAATCGGAGATTCGTCGCGATCTCGATTCGCCTCAGCCGCGACAGATACATGTTCGAAGCGAACTCGCGCTCGAGTTCCAGTAATTGGGTACTCGTGAAGGCTGTTCGAATCCTCTTGGAGCTGTTGATGGAGTTCGGAGACTTGGGCGGGGGTGTTGGCGTGCTATTACGCGAGGGTGATGCCTCGCTCGGTGCTGAAACATCTTAAAGAACATAATCACATTAGCATCGAACGTTTCGTGGAATATTTTGCGATGATATTCTGCTTCGACGAAAGAAAGAAATTCTGCCTCGTGGAATTCTGTTTCTCAAAGAGCGCGGAGGGAAATATTTACCCGAGAGTCTGCTGACAGAAGTGTTTAAAGGCGATGGAGGACTCTGGCCAGGGACTGGTCGCATGCTTCCCAAAGCAGGTGGACTGATTGAAACCGGGACAGGCATGGCCGGTGGTCTCGGTACCGGTCTTATCGGCTGATAACCCAGGCCAAGATTGAAAAAGTTGAACATGTAGCTCGGCAATTGATTACCGTAATAGGGCAAGGGGTACGCAGGTGGCGAATTGTTTCCGATCAACGAGTCCACGAGGAAGCTTCGCGACATGTTGACTTATTTTCTATGCGCGGTGAATTTTGAGTTCGTGCGATCCTCTTCGATCAGATTCAACAACACTCGACAATCCGAAACACTGAACAATCTCGCGGTCACTGAAGCGTCGTTGTGCACAGTCTCTCGATCGATTCACCGGGTTTCACCTGATTGTTTGAACATTGATCTCGTTGTATCCCAAGTATCACCAAGGCTGCTGTCAATTCTAAGATGTTTCTTGCGTGAAGTGAATTCGAGCAATTAGAGTGAATGCTCTGAGGTTGTAAGTAGATACAAACGACTTTCGAGACAAGAGATCCTCGCTGTTCGATAGTGTACCTTGATCTGTTTCCCGGTGGACTATCGCTCGAGCAATATATACGGGGTGCTAACTCCACCCAGGGGTTGGTTATCTTCGGGGCCCCTTTTGTACGGGGCCCCGCCCTTTTTCGAGGGTGCCCCCTTTCGATTCACCCTAAACGCGTGCGAGGACCAAGCGGGTTGCTTCCCCTGGGATCGACACCGAGTAGGGCATTTTCTCGCAACGCTAATTCGACGGGTGGCTAATATGTCCGGAAACTTTATACTACCTCCGTACCCATCTTTCCACTATTATTGGCCTGTGCTATAGGGCTCTAACCCCAGCGATGTCTCCTTATTATTCTCCGCCGCATTCGTTCCTCGCGATGATTTTGAAGTATAATTTTAAATTGGCGGAAACGATCGTCGGATCCGGCGTATGGACACATCCATCGTATGGATTCCACTGGAATATCGTTAATATTCTGTTTGTTCGTTTATAACGTCCACGTGTATAACTGTTTTGTGTAATTCTTCGTTTCGTTAGATTGGGTTTGAGCTTTCGTTAAATTGGGACTTTAAACGAGAAGGTACGGGGGGGGGGGGAGAGAGAATATTTTAACCATTTTTCTTGAAACACGGTAAGAAACGTTGAAGTTTTAAGCTCGTTTTTGTCGCTGGTCTTGTCAGATTCTTGCAGAATGTGTTGAAGAATCTCTGCAGGCAATCAAGATAAGCTGATGGAAAAAGACGGCACGGTTAGCACAGGTAGCCAACTTGGTTAAAGAAAGTGTCATTAGTGGTCTTCGTGGTGGCGGAATTCTAGGACGTTTTATGCCAATCAGAGGGAACATTCAAGCAGAGAATTTTCCAGGTAACATTCGCAACTTTTCTTCCCACTCGTTCTTCGAACGGAACTTCGATTCGACACTCGTCTTTTGACCTTTCGTGAAAAGATCAAACACGATGAATTCGTTGAATAATTCCATTGAAAGCATCTCATTAAGAAGATATATCAATTATTCGCGATATATGCTGACAATTCCTGATAGCGAAGGATGCGTCTTGCTAGATTTACCAGGAAACATGCACAAGTTTATTGAACGATAACTTTGTCTGTCTGTCTGTCAGCACTCAATGACTTGAATGATTGAAATCAAATCTCGATGAGCTGCGGCTTTCTTCTCTTTCCATTCGGTTTGCATTCCAGAAAGATTCTCGATCGCTCAACGAGCGACTTACGTTTCCAATAAAAACGTACTCTTATCAAATCTCATCAGATCATTTTCATCATTCTTCGACGAATCGACAGTTTACAAACGTTAACTTCGTTAACGTAATTTTCAACGTTTCAACAAATCAGTGTTGCGACTTCATTCGTGCAAGAAATTCAGTTTCGATGCAAGTTCCAAGCATCGTAAATTATTCCAACGCGTAAATAACTTTGCTCACCCATCAGCGTTTAGAATCACGAGCAGATACATTTCATGCAACAAAGCCTAGCGAATAGCCAAGTTTCGAAAACGGTTTCAAGGCAGAGTCGAGAGAGATTGTGTGCAGTAGGAATATTCGCAGTTGCGCGTTTCGCTATTCTATGACCGAGCGTTTTAACGATCTCTTAAGCGTGCACGATCGATGAAAACGGGAGTCAGGCTTCCAGTTGTCATCATCTGGAGACGCGGTCTGGCGAATAATTCCCCAACTACATGCTTTAACATGAACTGGCGGATATTAAATTTACCCCCGCGGCAACATAATTCGCGTACCAACGCCAACTACTCGAAAATTGCCGACGAATTTGTCTTTTATTATCTCCGCTGGCAACTCGATTCGTTTAATCGTTCGTTCGTTCGTTCATTAACTCGAAAAAGGGACAACGAACCGTATCGACGCAGCACTTTGACGCTGAACCCTTTAAGTATAAATATACGTGGCACAAAATACGACTAGCTGCACGTACTTGCAACTACAAAGAGCCACGAAGTTAATTTCTTGATTACTCGTGGGTGCTTTATCGAGCGTGTGGCACCCACTCGATGTTCAGAAGCCGGAAAATTAATATTTAACGTAGAAAGCACCTCTCGAATATCCCATGTATCGTTGTCGTTCACCGTTTCAGCTTCGTCATTTTCCACACTTCGTGGTTTTCGTGCGAGCAGACTTAACCTTTGGCACCTGTTACCTGGTTCGTTGAAGCCAGCCAGAAACTCGCATGAATTTTGGATCGCATTTCGGATCGTATCGTTACGTGTGCATGTATCTGCCAGTGATACACGGTAACGACCCGACAGCGTCGTTAACACGCGTTAGTCAAAAGTCTAGATTTATATCTGTAATGTGTGCACACGTACAATCTCTTCTGAACCTCGGTTGCAAATGGCGATACCTTTGACAGAAACATTACTCGTACGAGCATTAAAAGCTTATGGAAGATTCCAAATGGTTCATCCTCCAGCGTTTAATATTTTGCTTTCTTCGTTGGTAAGTTGACACCGAGCCAAAGCACTTGTCGCGAGGCCAAACACGCGAGATGTCATGGAAACCGAGTTAAACGCGTTGTAATGCCGCGACGGTACAGGAGGAAAGATCAGAGAGAACGTAGAGCCGTGATTTTAAACCCCTAATAACGCGACTAATCCCATTACAATGTTACCAAGGCAGAGCGAAGAGGAGCGTGCCCCGGAACTCGTATTAAAAATCAGGGTAACGTTATATCACGAACGGCTCGTGAATAATACAGTACAATGCGTATCTCTCTCTCTTTCAGCATATGTCCGGCGGATCCGGCTGATTCGAAGGGTTGCCGCACCCTCCACGCCAGGGGTTGGAACCGCGCCACCCTTCCTACGCCACGCCGAATATCGCAAACAAAGTTAGAGGGACCCCGGTATGTAGCGTTCACGTGCGTCGTTACTCGCGTACCCCGAATCATTACGACCCAAGGATATTTTAATTTCACGTAGGACCCCTCCTTTAACCACCCCATTGGCTGGCTCTTTTATTTGGGGCGTATCCCATCCCCGAGAAGTTGGAGGGCAACCAGCTACGGCTTCGTATCCCATTGAAGAAAGATAAAAGAGAAGAATAGCCTATATTTTGACTAGATTCTTCGATTCTCTGTAGATAGAAAATGGATATTAATGGACTGCGAGTGTCTATGCATTCAATTTTCAACGAGGGTGCTTTTGTGCAAATATGAACATTTTATTTCTTCAATTCAATGTAAATGTTAAGCTCAAGGTAAAATCGAAGGTAGATTTAAGAAGCGAGAACGAATTCGCAGAGTAACGATATTTCCAAGCAAACTATCGTTATCCAAGTGTCGTAACTTCATATCGATTGTTCGTTGGAAAAGCGAGTCCTAGATTTGTTTCAGTTTCCCTATATCAAAGTTTCGAGCGTTGTCGTTCTGAAAATGAATCTCGTATGCACCGAATTTTTCAATTTTCTTCGTTTCGTTGCCGTCGGTATCAACGATCTACGTATCACATATTTCGCGAAACGTTGAAATTTCGTTCCACGTAAAATGGCACGGATACTAGATATCGGAATTTTCGACGTTGAGAGCCAGCAAACTTTCAACGTAACTTACAAGTAGTTCCACGTTAATGTTCTACTGTTTGTAGTTGTCAACCTCGTCCTATAGAAAACATTTGAAACTTCTACTCCAAACTAGCTATGTTTCAAAGTTACTTTCCAACGCGTTCTGAAACTGTTGGATTATCTTTTAATCGATAACTAATTAATTTATAATGACATCAATCTCCCGGATTAAGGACAAGTCGCGTAATCAGGAGAACCGAGTTTCAAAATTCGGTCAGCTATTTTCAACACACGTTCGTGTCACGGAATGGCTTATGCTTATGAAAGTAGCAGCTCTCTAATTGCCAGCTTATTCCGACTCCGTCTCTCTTCCTCACTCCCTCTCTATTTCTCTCTCTCTCTTTCTCTCTCCTGTTGTGTAATCTCGAGATGAACTTGGATATTTGCCGAAAAATATCAGAGTCAGGTATTAATGAGTTCCTCCTCGTCGATATCAAGGGCTGCCAGATCTGAGTTTCTTGGCGTGTAAACCAGACGCCTCGGGGTCAACGACGAGCCAAATATTTAGCGTTACCTGTTATCTCGCTCGCGAGGAACAAAGTTCAAAGCAGGCCCGGGAACTCGGTGAGCATCGAAATTGAAGAAGCCAGCCAATTATTCGTGACTTCGCCAAATGATCGTTGCGAAGATATCGCGAATGACATTTGGCGAAGAGTTGTGAATCGAGAAAAATAAGTTCCTATGCAGACGCAACAAGGCTTCTTCTACGGTGATCAATCCCGTTCGTTTTCACTCTTTCTCCTCCAAGCTATATCCACTTAGATATATTAAACTCATAAAACTTTCCTTCGCAAATTAACTTCCCTTCGAAAACGATCTGGAAAGTTGTTCGCGAAGAAAGTAGATAATTATAAAAGAGGCAAGTAAAACGCTCGAGCCATTTTTCGGCTGTTTCTTTGGAGAGAGAGATATAGCGTGAGATAATGAGGACGTTATTAATGAAACTCCCATTTATTAATCCTTTCTTCTCGTAAACCAAGTTTGAATACAGCTGCGAAGAGATATTATAAAACCACCTACTAGAAAATTATAAGAACGAAGAAACTACTGAAATTTAAAACTACGTTAATACACCAGTCGCGACTCATCGAATCATCCAACAACTTCATCGGGATTTATATTTCTATCTATCTATTTATCAATAAATTAAATTCGTTCTATATCTATCAACAAAAAAACCGTCCTTACTTATTAAGAAAAATAGTCTTTTTGACAAAATGTTAGCTGCTTCCCTTCCGTCCGTTAGTGATCAAATGCAACGTTAATTGAAATGATGCCAGGACATTCCACTATCGATATCCGAGACTGATTTGATTTCAACTTCCTAAACTATCTCTAACCGAGTAATGAAATTCATGATCGACGAGATACGATCTTGGCGTACTCCCGATCAATACGAGCGAATTTAAATTGATCGAAACGAAACGGAACGGAGAGATGAAACCCAAGCCTCTGCTTGGATGTCACGTGCGCTATCCTGATTTGTCCACGTTTCGACCGACAAACAAACACGACGAGAATAATCCCTGGTGGATCGATCGTACCGATCGAACTCAAAAACTCTTCCTTCGAGATGAACGCGATAAAGCGTGACGCAACGACAACAGGTAGACAATGACGGTTGTACGGTTTCACGAATCACGGTGAGGGATCTCGATCGTGCTCGACGAAGCTTCACGGCGAGGCAGATACACACGAAGCGAAGAAGGTACACGGTTTCGATTCCAGCTGATTCGACGGAGGTCTGTGAATCAATCGGGGTTTCCCCGATTCCTCCAGCAGCCGATGAAAGAGGGAATTGCGAGGACCACGTCGTCGTTCGGTAAACTTACTCCTTTTTTTCCAAGCATTATTCCTCGGAGCTGTTTCGTTCCACCGTACTGCGTTTTCGATCTCGGGGCAAGGATCCGAAATTAGCTCGGCTCATTTCACCCGGCAGAAAAGTGCATTCTTAGGGAAGAATGCACGATCCCAAAGGAGCATCCTATTCAACCTCGACTCAACCCACGCTATTGGTCATCTGTAAAAGGGTCTGATGAAGAGGAAAAAAAAAAAAAAAGAAAAGGAAAGGAAAGGAGGAGAGAACGAAGAATGAAACGGTGCCGGGCACAGCTAAATAATCATGGGAATGGCAAATACGATTTCGAATCTCCGCTTTTGCTGCCATCCAGACCAAATAATTCGACTATAGTTCAGGAAGCGAAGTTTTGGCGAAAATCCTTTCATTCGTCTTTTACCCTCATTCATTGTTGGCCACTGGTGGAATTATATCTCTATGAGACATCGCTCGCTACAATTTCTGCTTTCTTTTCTTTTCATTAGCCGCGGAGACATTCGAAACCCTTTCGAGATACTTGAAACGATCGATCGTTTAACAGACAATTCGCTAAATTTCTCGTGGATCTAATCGTCGATACTTTGTAGATTGTACATGTACTTTGGAGAAATAAAACGTAGATCGCGCTCGATATTTAATCAAGCGTCACGTTGTAAGAAGTTCGTCGTCAATCTCGTTATTCTTGGGAGGGAAGAAGTTTTGTCCCGTTTGGCATTCGCCTATCCTAGAGAGTACATACGAAGAATTCAAATATGTAGCATATGCTTAAGGAAGTACATAGCAATCTCGAAACTTTTGTCGAACTCGACAATCGGCAACTCGATAAGCTTAGTTCTACAGCTGGCTAGAGAGGCAACTCGTTCCAAAGAAAAGGAAGAGTAACTTAATTCTCGCGGACTCTCCGGGCGAGCAATGTGAATCATTCTTCATGTCTTTTTGCCGTGGAACTTTCTTTCTTTCTTTGAACTGGCGGACTTTTTCCCCAGAAGATCGAGGACACTCGCAACACGAAATCAACGACATCATCAGCGTGTGGAGTAAAAAAGATGTCTGAGCGATTGGTTCGATAAATCTAAATTGTTCCGATAAATCTCGCAGATTAGCGCGAGAATGGAGCGTTATAACGCGAAGACCAATGGATTTAAGCTAAATCCATCATGACCGTGCATCGATGACCTTTTTGTCGGCGGCACTATTGTTTCGACCGCCATTGTCGGTAACAACGAGCGTCTCTGAATCACGATGATCATCCTAGCGTGGATTATTCGATAATTTCACTAGGTTACGCGCTCTTTTCTTCTCTTTCCCTCCTCGTTTTCATTCACCGTTGCCTCTTCTGCTTTGAGTATCCGTCCTCATCTCCTCTACCTAGTCAACGTTCTTACTGTTGTTTCCGCCTTGGTACTTGTGTTTTGACACGCGCCGAGGAGCTTTCACGAATAACACGGTCAGCTCCGGATTTCGTTGAACGGCACATGGATACCTCACGGTTTACTGAGCACCGTGAATCGGCCACGATCTTCTTGTTTGCTTCGTCGTTCCTCAACGGACGTGAGAGTATCATGAAACGTAATGACCGGGGTTCCGGTCAAACGTTAAGAGATTCTGTATCCTCTTGGTTCTCTGGATAAAGGTTGGCTAAGCGCATTTTCCTCTCCAAGCAATGGCAATACTTGCAACTGCGAGAGCCAACGATTTATATAAGAGGATCTTTCTGCCAGTGGATCTCTATAGCCATACGTCCGTATAAATTACGGCCATGTCCGAGTTATTCGTGCCTCGCATCGCTATTTATCCGTAAAAAATACTCTTTCTTAAAATGTAATCTTCCCGCTGCCAGATACGACACGTATTCGATGTTTCACGACGTTGGAGAATATCGCGAATATCGCGAAATCCCGGAGATTTATATAACATCGACTATGCTACATGTTATAGTAGCAGCAAAGTTGGCAAAAGGAACAGCGATTATTTCATTCTCGACGGCGAAGAATGAAGCTTGAATTACGACGAGGAGACGTCCCGTCGCCAAGTTGAGCGCGGCAATCCGCACGAACGAAGTTCTGCACGGATTACATAAAGGGAGAAGGAAATTTGTAATGTCTAAAGACAACGACATTGACTAGAAACTAGAAATTCAAAACTTTTATCGGAGCTGGTTATTTCGCCGTGGAGCCACGAGTATTTGCGCCTCGGTAAATAACGAATGAAAATGTCGACGCGATTTTCACCGAAGGCCAACACACATGTCTGCTCGATGCGCTCGAGCTTTTTTTGTCAGCAGCTTCTATCGAGCTATTAAAATTTTGCGAAACAACCTCGCGCCGTTCCAGGATAGAGTTAAAAAATCCATTTCAGTGAGTGACAATCCGATTGCATGAAAAAAAAACCTTTGCCCGAGATAATTCACAAATGAATCCGATCAAAGCGAAACGGTGCCGAAGGTCGAGAGATATGGAGCAGCGTTTGACAAAAAAGAAAATAGGGGCTGGTTGTATTTTATTCGACGTATCGTCGGATCCTTCCACAAAAGTATTCGTCCGTATTCTTTTACCCTTTGGCAACAATCGCGAAAAATGAACTTTCGATGACAAAGCGATACGAGGGGTTATTCTTTCTGCTCGTAATTTCCCTCCGCGCTCTTAGCCCTGGATCATTTTATAAATTCATCAGGGTGCTTTGGGAAAGGGTGATCGAAAATCTACCCTCGTTATCCCTGCTCGTCACAAACCGTGTCTAATATTATACAACCTACTT